GGTCAAGGCAAGTCACGTGGGTAGCTTGCCTTCAGGCAGGGCGAGGCATTTGGAGACCACTGCTACAGTCGGCCACACCTGCCTTCAAGGGCAGCATGTCCGACCTTGTAACATGCACGTAGGATTCAGCAGGTGCGTGGCAGGGCACAGGGTTTGCATCACTAGAACCTTGGGCCCCAGCGGTTGCATGAACAGACCGAACTCTTTCCTTCCTCCCCTTCTCTGCAGAGACAAAACTCAGCTTGCAGCTCTGTTGCTTGGCACTGCAGGCCAGAAGATACTGAGATGTACCTCGAGGGCGTGGGGGGGGAGAGGGTGGATAGATCATGAAAGCTGCTAACTTTGACGGAAGTCTGGGGAGGACTGTGCAAGAACAACACGCCACTCGTACAGAGGCCATCATTTGCATAAGCAGGTGCCTTAAATGGACCTAATTAGGTCTAACTGTGCCACCCCTCTTCCTACTCTCCCGCCCGGGCAGTTGGCAAAGCTGGGACGGGTCAGTGCGAGCCGACTAGGCCTGGTACAGGGCCCCTGCCCCTTTGCGCATTCTCCGTGTCCTCGAGTGCTGTCGTTGGAGGGAGCTCGTGCTGCTCCCATTTGTCCCCCTCGCGTGTGCCAGTGGTGACAGACTCCTGGGGCAGTGCCACTGTCCCTGAGCCCTGAGCCCCTGCTGGCCAGGGCCCTCGCTGGGGTTGAAGGCAAGCACTCGCCCCCTCCTGTGGGCAAGGGTGGGTGCTTGGGTTCGTGCCGTCCTGAACCGAAACGCGTCAGCCTCTGCCCAGCTCGGAATAGATGGTGTTTTTGTTCTAGTGGTTTTATTTAATGTCCATGCCCGTCATTTTATATCCTTTCCCAGAAGTTTTGATTGATGGCGATCTGGTCTGCCAGAAGCTGCCCGTGGACGGAAACTGCCTGTGGACGGTCTTGGGTGGGGTGTGTGTGTGTGTGTGTGTGGGTGTGTGTGTGTGTTGGGGGAGGGGAGGATTCCATGGAACTGGATCTAGGAGGAGCTGGCCTGGCCTCTCAGTTCCAAAGGGGCAGGTGGGAAGCCGCAGCGTTGTGCCTGTACCAGCCCCCTGCTGCCACTAGAGGGCAGCATGAGGAACAGAACCCATGTCCAGCCCAGAGGTCTTTTGCCGTAAAACCGCCCCACTGGCTCCCAGGCAGCAGCTTCAGCTTGGCCTCTTAGAGGTCAAACCCCAGTTTCCAACAGGTTCAGACTCATAAATTGGATTTCTGTTCTGGGAAACTAATGTCATGCCACTAAAATAGTTTACAGAGTTATTAAATAAAAAGAAATGCACATTGTATAGTATATTTTACAAATAATTACATAGAAGCCCAACAGGAAGATAAGGCTCAATTCTTTTGGTGGGTGAAGGAGATGGGGTTTGCCCAGATAAGAGCTCATCCGCTTTCAGAGACCGGAGTCTGGTGCCTTCTTCCCTTGCTGCGACTTTCCCTTTGGCAAGCACAGCCGCAGGGGCTGCAAACTGTGGTCGGCATCAGGTCCTCTGTGCTGAACACGTTCACTGCAGATTGGAGATGCCCGCGGGGGGTGGCCGCCAGGGTATGGGCGGCGGCCATGGTGACTTTGGACTCGGGCGACCCTGCCTAAAGGTGCTGGGTCCGGGGCTGTGATTGGACTCCAGGGGTCCTAGAACCCTTTGACGTTATGAGCAAATGTTTGGTTGTGGGTTTGCATGGGCGAAGCGTCCACAGTGTTTGTCCACTGGATTCTCAAGGGAGCCCCTGATTGCCCCCAGACTTTAAGAACCACTGTCATGCACTCGCGTTTCTTCTTTGTAACGGTATGTTTTCTAAAAAGTAAAAAGTATCTGCAGGTCAGTCCATCTAAGGTGGGCGTTTGAGCTTCCCTGCGGGCACGAGGGAGAGAGGTCACGCTGTATTTGACCCTGTAGCTGTGGCAAGCGCACAGAGAGGCCCGCCCAAGGGAAGGCTGGGGTTAAACAGCAGTGAAGACGAGACCTAAACACGTAAGGAAAGGTGGCTGAGGGACGTGCCCACCGGATGCCCTGAGGTGCCCAGGGGAGTGACTTGCAGGAGGAAGCAGAGGGACAGCAGGAGATTCGTGTGACCTTCCCTTTTCCCGTCTCCCTTCACACCCAGTTTCTTTCACACATTTTTGTCCTGTCCTCCCGCCTTTTGGGGTGGGTGGAGAAGACAGCGCAGCCGAGGCCTGCAGGAGGGCGCCAAGCTAACTGCGGCCCCGGTGGCCGTGGCCGTTGTCTGCCACCCAGCCAGACCTGTCCAGGGGCCTAATGGCAGAGTAGGAGGACGGCTTGTGGCGCTGTCTCTGGTGGGCTCATTGCGCTGCCTTTCAGGCTTTTCTTAGTGGAGTGTCTGCCATCTTGTGGCCGAGGCTGGTACTTCCTGGGCCCCGGAGTCACACCTGCCGACCAGGCTCACCAGGCGCTGCCCCTGGGGTGGTCCTCGGGCCAGGCGGGCAGCTGTGAGGGGAGGACCCTCTTCACACCACGCCTGGCTTAGAGAGGCTCCTGGAGACAGTAGTTGCAAACTCCCAGGCAGAAGGCGGTGTCAGCAGGTGACTGCAGAGGGACTTGGAGGTGACATCTCTCGGTAGGTGGTGTGGACAGCGGGAGGGAGCCCTCAGTAGGCGATCAAACAAACGTGTGCCTTATTCTGGGCTTTAGACTAAGTGGGGGTGTGACTTGCATTCTAAATGTGGACCCTCCAGAGCAAACCTTTTATTTGGTATCTGGATACAGCTGCAAGCAATGAGAGATCATTTTAAATCAGTCGTAGAAGTTCTCTGGTTCTCCTAACGAGCTCTGGGCCAGGAATGTCAAGTCCCGACTTAGCTTTCTCTTTTCTGCAAGCTCTCGAGTGCAGCCCGAGCAGCCGGCACACCCCACAGACTCGCCGTCTTCACCGGAATATTCCATCCTCACAGCTGCCTGGTATCCAAGGCCTGCTTCACGGGCACGCACCAGCAGCCATCTGAGTAACCACACTGCCCTGCTGTCGTGGGCACTGGCCTGTCCCGCACACCCGGGATCGGGGGTCACTCCTGGCTCTGCATCTAACCACGCCAGTTCGTCAGCCCCATGCTCTTGTTCACGGTGAGGTTCTGTTTCCTAAAAACCAACCTGGAACCAAGTCCTGTGCCAGGGTTCAGTCACAGACACAAAACATTTGTGGTCGCTACAGCAGGGCGGGTTTGACGAAGGGAGTTTGGTGTTTACAGATGCATTAGCAGGGCTGCTGGGGTGAAGGGCAGGGGAAAGCACCGTGAGATTTCACCATGTCTGGAAGTTATAGAAATTGCCGGAAATCATTGCCGAGGACTTTCTTAGCCTGCAGCATGGCGGTGACTGGCTCTCAGGACAGGGCCGGGATTGCCCCCGGCAGGGACCTGTGCCCGTCCTCACAGCTGTGCCTTGCAGAATATAGCTTCTCCTTTTACCTTTTACATAGCCTGGCAGACTGCACGTGAATTCCTGTCTTTGGTGGACTCTGCCGGGGGCCTTGTGGCGATGGGACCTGGGAACGTAGCCTCCACGCCTCCCACCTGTGCAGCGCTGGGCCAGCTGAGCGCGCCAGGGACCAGGCAGGGCACTGACACACATGCAGTGGCAATGACAGCACTTCCTGCCCGCGGCTGTGGTGAGGCCACAAGTAACAGGTGTGACGTCTCCACACAGAGAGCAGCCTATGAGGCCCTTGATGACTGCTAGGTTGCTATAAATTGGCAAAAATAATGTCAGAATGGCTTCTGGTCCACATTGCTACCCCCTGTGAGGAAGCCGGCTACTGCTGAGATGTGGGGTCCCATCCACCCGCCTTGGCCAGGGTGCTGTCTTCCGGACTGGCTCATTCCAGACTGGCTGGGCTTTGGGACCCTCAGGGCCTCGTGGGGGCTCAGAGGGCTGAGCAGAGATTCAGGAAATATGTGACATTTCTCAGGAAAAACGTGAAGCCGGGAAGTATGCTGAATGCTAACCTGGGACTCACCCTGCTTGACACATTTGGGGACTTCACCTAAAATGGACCAGTGGACCAGTCCCCGCCTTGCTTCGCAGCTCTGTCCCACACGGAGCCGGCGAAACCGGGGTTGAGTCCCTGTGGCCTTGTGCTCAGTGCTCTGGGCAGCCTGCAGCAAGAGGGAATTAGGGCAGAGCCGACATCCGGGAGGGAGGAGAAGCAGCTTAAGTCCCTGGGGAGCCATGTCTATTTCCTGACCCGTCTCCTGCCCCAGATAGCTCCGTTGTCCTCCCCGATCCGTGTTTACACGTGCCTTGCCCTGGCAGTACATGCCGCCAGGCTGTAAACTAGGACGCAGAGGCTGGTGACGGGCTGACACAGGCCCTCAGGCCATGTCCTCCCTGGCCCTCGCTCCCCAGGCGCCCTGGCCTGGAGTTCAGAGTGCAGACCCCCGCTCCCCAGGCGCCCTGGCCTGGAGTTCAGAGTGCAGACCCCAGCTGACCCCTGCTGGCCAGGACACCCTGCAGCGTCCCTGCTGCTAGAGCCATGGTGCGTGGAGGGACCCTCTGGCCTCCTAAGGGGGCTGGGGCCTGTTCCTGAGCTGGTGGGCGGGGGGACAGTGCCGGGCAGGCCTCCACCCCATCCCTGCAGCCCTGCCAGTCCTCCTCAGGGACACCAGGGAGCCACACTCACCTGCTCTTTCCCTGGGACAGCTTTGGGGTCGGTTTCAAACACACCCATGGGGTCCAAACCAGGGCACACCACTGAGGCAGCATCTCAGTGATGGGTAGAGCATAAATGATGGAGTAAAAAGCTGATCTAAGCCTGATATCAGCTCCCAGTTGACTGAGGCACAGCCAGGTAAGTGCCCACCAGAGTCACTGCACTGGGAATGGGCAGAGCCAACCGGAAGGACCCACGGCACCTCCCAAGCCGCAGCGGCTGCCCTCAGCGCCACCCCCCAGCCCTTGCCCCCTGGTGCTTGCTCCCTGGTCCAGCCGGGGCCTGACGCTGCCGCTCTCTCCCCACAGGTCCTCTCGAAGCATGGCTTGGGCCCCATCACCACCGACATCCGGGAGGGACAGACTTTCTACTACGCGGAGGACTACCACCAGCAGTACCTGAGCAAGAACCCCGACGGCTACTGCGGCCTCAGCGGCACTGGGGTGTCCTGTCCTCTGGGTATTAACAAATAGTCTCTCTCCATGTGCTGGGCCCTGGAGGTTCCTGCAAAACTGCTTTCAACAAATTGGGTGATGGTTTTGCGATTTATGGCTTTTTAGAAATGCACAAATAGCAAAAGGCATTTATAGGAGGTGCAATGGCAAGTTGATAAAATGCAATTGGTCTTCTGATAAGTTATGGTGTGGTGGAGCTGAGGAGTTTTCTGGATTATCCGGGGTCTGAATGAAGATAGCAGAAACGCTGTGTTCTCCCCTCTTGGTCTGGGTGCCTGCCCTGGAAGCCAGGGGCTGAGCCGGGAGACTGCTGGGCAGGATGAGGGACCTTGAGAGACCTTTGTCTGTGCCCTCCTTCCCCCCAGTGCCTTAATATTTGCAAACATCTGTAGCCTCAGTGGCTCATTCCCTAAGATGCTTTGCTCTATGGGACCTGGACACCTGTCTGGGGCTTTCTGTCCCTTTTCAGGCCGCTTTGTGCAAAGAGTTGAGACAGCTCGATGAATTCTAATGCATCGCTTATAGCTATGGGAAATGCTTGTTCTAATAAAAACCTGCAGCCCATTAATGCAAATCGCCTGGCCTCTCGTCTGTCTTCTCCTCATTTCGGGAGACTTAAGAGCTCAACAAGAGCTTGGGAAGGAAAAAGCCTCACAGTCATTCACCCCCAGATGGGAAATGTTATGATGGAAATTTCTGGCAAAGATGCAGACCTCTAGCTGCTTGCAACTTTAGCAATAGAAGTTGTTGTTCAGGAGCCTGTCACCTTCCACTCATCAGGGACTGTGCTAGTTAGAACAGACACCTTCAGTCCCTGCCCCTAAGAGCCTCTGTAGTCAAGACAAGGCATTGTAGCAATAAACATGTGAACAAATGACTAGATGAGCTGATTTTGGGTCCTGATCCATGGTATGGAGACGGTGAACAGCCAAGTTGACAAGTTGTGTTGGGGGCCATGGGGTTGCCTGAAGGGCTGTGGCAGCTGGGCTGGTTGGAGAGGCTGAGGCTGCTGAATCAGTGGAACTCGAGAACCAGACAATCTGAGCACACCAGACCGACAGCAGGGGGAGTGCTGGGAACACCCAGAGGGCAGGTGTAACGACTGCTGGCATCCCCACTTTGCAGGCTCTGGTTGCTTGAGGGCAAAGCTTTCCAAGCAGAAGGACCAGGAAGTATGAAAGGCCCAAGGCAGGGAGGGATTTGCAGAGAGACAGAAAGGCTGTGGGGCTGGCATGGTACGCTTGGGGAAGACAGTGGGGAGAGGTCCCAGCTAGGTGGGCAGAACCAGGGCACAGGGAACCTTCTAGGGATGTTGTAATGGGATTTTTAGTCTATCTAATTGGGCAGCCATTGGAGCATTTTAAACACTTTCTCCCTCATTTGTTTTTTAACCTGTGCAACTGGATGGGGATGTTATTTACTTGCAGGGGGGATGTTATTTACTTGCAGCGGGGGTGAGTGAACGGACCGTATGATTTTAGCAGCAACAAATTTGCAATGCTTCTGGACATCCCAGTGGAGATGTGGACTGAGGCTGTTGGCTGCCTGGGGCTGCAGTGTGGAAGGAACCCGAGAGAATGCAGAATCACCAGCATGTGGATGGCATGTGAGGCCCTGGACCCAGTTGAGATCACTGAGGGAGGGAAGGGAGGAAGACAGAAGGGGCCCAAGTGTTGAACTCAGGGGCATCCGACACCCAGAGGTCTAGTAAGAGAGTGGCGGAGGAATTTGCAAAGTGCCACTTGAGGCAGGCCCATGAAGGAAGGATATGTTGACATCCTAACCCCCAAGGTGATGGCATGAGGAGGTCAGGCCTTTGGGGAGGGATTACATCCTGAGGGCGGAGCCCTCATGAATGAGATTAGTGTCCTTATAAATTAGGCCCAAGGGAGCTCTTTGGCCTCCTCTACAATATGAGGACACATGAGAAGGCACCATCTATGAACCAGAAAGCAGCCCTCACCAGACACGGAATCTGCCAGGGACTTGATCTTGAACTCCTTGGCCTCCAGAACTATGAGAAATAAATGTCTGTTTCTTGTAAGCCACTCAGTTTATGCTATTTCATTACAGCAACCCGAATGGACTAAGACAACCTTCATTTCTCAACTGAATTGATTTTGTACATTTGTTGAAAATCAGTTGTCCATATATGTACAGGTCTATTTCTGGACTGTTCTTTTTTATTGTTCAGTGCATCTACATTTATGCCAATGCTACACTGCCTTGATTACTATAGATGACTATATAATTCTTAAAATCAGCGTGAACAGTGAAGATCGCCAAGAGTTCAGAAGTTAAAACCCTACTCTAGTTTCAAATAAGGTACTTAATAGTCCTCTTTCATCATTCAGTACAAACATCCCCTACATTTCTCTAAAGTTTGATTTTGTTCTTTATGTCAAGGGGGGGAAAATGGTATTATGAACAGTTGGAACTTGGCAAGTTCACATGAAACTATTACATAGGAACTGGATGGATTAGCAATCTGTTGTCAATTTCTAATTTAATCCATTGTTGTCAAAAAGCCTTGTATGTCTTGAATGCTTTTAAATTTATTTAGACTTCTTTTATGAGCCAGAATCTGATCTATTGTGGTAAATGGTTCACGTGCACTTGAGAAGAATGTATATTAAGCTGTGGTTGGGTGAAATGTTCTATAAATGTCAATTAAGCCGAGTTGGTTGGTTGTGTTGTTCAAGTCTTCTGTATCCTTCCTGATGTTCTATCTACTAGTTTTATCGATCATTGAGAGAGGGGTGTTGACATCTCCAACTGTACTTGTGGATTTGTCTGTTTCTCTTAGTAATTTTATTAGTTTTTGATTCACGTGTTTGGAAGTTCTGTCACTAGGTGCATAAACATTTAAGATTTTCACATCCTGTTGATACGTTGACCCTTTTATCATCAGAAATGACTATCTTTATCCGTAATCATAGTATTTATTCTGAAATCCTGTCTGTCCTGCATTAATCCAGTCTCTCCGGGTTTTATAGATTAGCAGTCACAGGGTATATAACCTTTCATATTTTTACTTTTAATCAACATGCATCTTGATATTTAAAGTGAGTTGGATGCAGCATATAGTGAAGTTGTACTTTTTTAGGCAGTCTCTGACTTTGATGGAGGTGCTTAGACTGGTTACATGCTATGTGACAATTCATATGGTTAGGTTTAAATTTTCTACCTATTTGTTTTCTTTTCTTCTTCTCCTACCTGTTCTTTCTTTCCCTTTTTGTGTTTTTCTCCTTTCTTTTTCTTTTTTTCATGATTCTATTGTATCTCCTTTGTTGTCTTATTAGCTATAACTCTTTATTTTATTATTTTAATGGTTGTTTTAGGTTCATAGAATATACATCTTTAACTCATCACCATCTACTTCAATTGACATTGCATCACTTACTGTATACCATCGGCACCTTACAATAACATACTTTCATCTCTCCTAGTCATATCACTATGCTATTTTTATCATATATATTATTCTACACATGTTACAGGCTCTGTAATACATTCTTATTTTTTGCTTTGAATAGGCAATTATTTTATTATAAGGATGTTTAAATAATAAGAAAAAGGTTTTTTATATTTACCCACACAGTTAATATTTCTAGTGTTCTTTATGCCTTTGGTTCATTCATATTTCCATCTGGTATCATCTTCCTTCTACTTGGAGGACTTCCCTTAACATTTCTTATAGTGCAGTTTCACTAACGATGAATTCTTTCAGCTTTTGTGTTTCTGAGAAAGTCTTCATCCCACCTTTGTCTATGAAGCGTGTTTCTGCTGGCTATAAAATTCTACACTGACATGTTTTTTTTCCAGTAATTTAAAGACATTGCTCCATTGTTCGTTCTTATGGCTTGTGTGGTTTCCAATGAAAAATCCACTGTCATCTTTATCTTCCTTCCTTTGTATATGATGTGCATATATTTTTTCACTCATTTGTCTGTGTTTATGATTTTCTTTTAATCACTGTTTTTAAGTAATTGGATTATTGCAGCAGGTAAAATTGTGTTTCCACGAAAGAACACATCTCAAGTCCTCACCCTGGTACCTGTGAATGTGACCTTATTTGGAAACAGGGTCTTTCCAGATGCGATCAAGTTAAGAAAAGGAACTACCGGATTAGAATGGGCCCTAATCTAATGACCTGTGACCTTATGCTATAAGGGAAATGTGCACACAGACACACAGAGAAGGGAATGTCGTGCAAACACAGAGACACAAGAGACAAACCGTGAGACGGTGGAGGTGGAGATCGCAGTGACGAAGCCGTAAGCCAAGGGTCGCTGGCGACCACCAAATCTGTGAAGAGGCAGAAAGAGCCTCCCCTGGAGCCTTCGGAGAGAGCCTGGCCCGGTGACATCCTGACTTCAGACTTCTGTCCTCCAGAACTGTAAGGAAATAAATTTATCTTGCTTTAAGCCACCCGTTTCGCTGTGGGTCCCTACAGCAGCCACAGGAAATGAATACAATTGTAATGTGTTTCTTGTGCTTGGATTTTTTTTGAGCTTCTTGAGTCTGCAGGCGTATCATTTTCATCAAGCATGGATACTTTCTGCTGTTAAATCTTCAAATATTTCTCCAGCCTCCACCTCCCCAGTTACTTTGTGGGAACCCAAGGCCATGTCCCACTGATTCTCTGATCATTTTTTTTCAGCTTTTTTTAAAACTCCAACTTTCATTTTGGCAATTGTCCTATTGCTATGTTTTCAAGTTCACCGATCTTTTCTTTTGCAATGTTTAATCTGCCATTCATCTCACCCAGTGTATTTTCCATCTCAGATGCGGTGGTTTTCACTTCTCCATGTTCAATTGGAGGCTTTAATGCATCTTCTGTATCTCTGCTAACATGCTCAATCTTTCCTGCAGCTTCTCGCACATATTTAATACATTATAATAACTGTTAAAATGTCCTCCTCTATTAATTCTCTCATCCGTGTCATTTCTGGATCTCATTGATTGATTGATTATTCTCATTATGTGCCTTGTTTTATTACTTCTTTGTACGCCTGGTACATTTTGATTGGACGCCAGAGACATTGTGAATTTCACCTTTTGGGGTGCTGGATACTTTTGTATTTCTGTAAGTACTCCTGAGCTTTATTCTGGGACACAGTTAAGTTACTTGAAAACCTTTTGATCCTTTCAGAACTTGCTTTTAAGCCTTCTGAAATAGGGCCAGAGCAGCATTTAATCTAGGACTAACAGCTAAGCCACTTAGGATAACACTCTACCCCATTGCCTGTGGGTGGTGAGGACTTCCACTCTGGGTGGTGGAAACAGGAACTGTTCCCAGGCCAGTGAGAGCTCTCAGGCACATTTCCTGTGACCCTGTTGCGTGGCCACTTCCCCGTCCCAGACTAGGGAAGATCAAGTAGGCAAGGCTTCCTTATCCTTTAGATGGAACAGGCCCAGAGTCCGGGCCCTACAGCATTTTCAGGGGCTCATCAAAATGCTTTAATTTCTTTTATGATTGAAAAGAAAAAAGATCAAAAAAATGTTTTAATGAATGCTAATATATTCGTCTTTATAGCACTGTAGTTGTAAACCCTGTGGCCATGCAGAAGAAGGGAAGCAGGAAGGCAAAGTGTCTGGAGCCCACAGAATCATAGGTCAGCCCTGCAGTGGGTAGGGGACAGCACCTGGGCTGAGAGCAGGGGGTGAGGGTGGGGCAGTGAAGATCCCCTCACCAGGCGGTAGGGAAACAGGGTCACTGGGTGAGCTCTCAAGGGGAGCTGGTTTCCTGGGAAACAAGCCCAGAGCAAAGCTTCTGAGCCCTGGGTTTGACACACGATGGGCTGGCAAGAGGAAGAAGAAGAATAGGGAGGGTGGCCTGAGACAGACAGTCCGCGAGGCCATGTGGGGTGACGTGCAGATCAGTACACTTCGGTCGGCAAAGCCATGGCAAGGGCACTTGTGTTCCTCAGCCCACGTTTCCTCTTCTCGGCAGAGGAGCGAGGGCTGCCCGCCCTGCGCGGGGCTGCAAGGAGGTAAGCAGCAAAGTTCTGCGTCAAGGGCGACACTCTCTGCGAACGTTCCTTGTAGAGAAACGAGCAGGCTCCAAGTAACGACGGGGAGATCACAGAGGGGGCGTATCAGAGTCACAGAGTGGCAGGACCAGGCGGGGCCCTTGGGGCCACTGAATCCAGCACTTCCAGAGGTGCCAGAGATGCAGGACACACTGAAGTGAGACCCCGGGCAAGGACTCACCCGCCACCCACACTGTCGTGAAGAGTGTAGGAAATGGAGTCTCCGAGATTTCAGCTGCTACAATCCCAGGAAGGGTGTGGAGGGCCAGGGGCAGGGGGTGCTGAGTGGCGAAACCAGTATCCGGCACCCATATTCAATGTGAGTGACAGTAAGAATCCCCCACCCGGTGTTCACGACGGCGCTCGAGATGTCCTTAGCACCGTGGCCGTGTATGGCAAACCCTCAGAACATGCTGCTTTCTCAGAAGGCAGTTGGAACATCTGATTCCCCAACCTCATCTCTAACCCTACAAGGCAACAGGTGGATCTGGTTCCACTTGTTCGAGCCTCGATCAGGATGCTTGTCCTTATTATCTAGTTCCAGGACCATCACTGTCCTTTATTCCAGCTCAGAGGGGGGATGGAGATCCACAGTTCCATGCAGGTGCGCGGGAGAAAAAAAAACAATCGAATTAAGGGAACAAGGTCCTTGTTGAGAGCAGGTTGATAATAACATTCCTGGAAGGCTCTGTACTCCTCTCAGCGGGACCAGTCAGAGGCTGATCAGTTCCCGTGTGGAGGCACAAGTCCAGGACCTGCCCTTCTGACCATCCCTCCCTCGTGGAATTAATGAAACTGGCGTTGAGTCCTTGTCATGTTGCACGCAAATACTCTAGCCGGCTTGCAACAGGACAGAATCAGGGCAGAGCTCACGGACAGAAGTGGAAAAAGAAACAGGCTAAAACCCAGAGGGAAAACTTCCTCTTTCCTAAGCTGTCTCCTGTCCCAAATAGCTCGGCTCCCTCCCCCAGGTTGTGTTGATGTGTTAGGTTTTTTCCTCTTGGAGCAGATGCCACCAGACCGACAGTCCCTAAACTAGGTCAGAGAGAGCAGTGACGAATTGACACAGTCCCTCCGGCTACATTGTCCTGTGTCCCTAATTCTGTCTCCAGGCTGAGAATTTGACTCCGCAAAGAGGTCATTTACAGGGGCAGAGAAAGGCCAGTAAGGCTTTTAGGAGCTGTGTGGGTCTGCAGGGAGAACTGGGAACTCGAGAGGCCCCAAGTGCTTGTGGGGTCACTAGCGTGCCCCTCCCTGTGGAAATGTGCTCCCTCCAAACCCTTTGAGAGGACTCAGGCTGAACCTGGAAACCTGCTTCCAAGTTCTAGGTGACCCATAGGCTGTGAGGTGGGTCTCAGGCATCTTGTAAGTGCCCCTGTAGGTCTCTGATTAGCTCAGGCACAGTTAATCACCTGACAGTCACTCCAAGCCACCCGGCCCTACCCTCTGCCCCACCGCACACATGCAGAAGAACGCTTGGCTCTTAAGACAATACAGTATTTAATCTTAAAGAAAGTAGAAACATAGTAACAAGGCAGCCCCAGGGGAGAGAAACACGCTGGACCCCGAGTCTCTCTGGTACCCATACGGCTTCCCTGCCAGCATCGTCTCCCTCTCAATCCAAAGCAGATAATTTGCCACTTTCGTGTACACTCCAGGCAAGTTCTTCCGGCCACAGCCCACTCCCCAGCTGATAATGCCCAGCTGGTACCATATGTTTTTCTTCTTCTTTTTCTGGCAAACAAGAGGCCCCCCGCTGTCACCCTAGGAGAGAAAAGAGGTTTGGGAGTGGAAGGGATGGTGGCAAGTTACTCCTGCAGCCCACTGAAGTGAGGGCCGCTGGCACAAGGCAGCAAGCACTGACAGCGTCTTCCGACGAGCAAACTTTAGCTCCGTGACCCTGTGACTGTCGGGAAAGGAAGCAAATGACTTGGCCAAATGCAATGTGATGGACGACAGTTTGGTTCCCAGAGGAAATCTCCATCCTCATCGCAAGGCCCACAAGCATTTACTCAGTGGTCGCTCCCACTGCGTTTGTGGACGTCGCACCAAGCAAATCTGGGCATGGCTAACCTAGGTTTTTACTGGAACCCAAAAGGTGGTGGTAACCCCAGAAGTGAGCATGCCTCCATTAGAATTCCGGGTCTGTAATTTATCTTGCGTGCATTAGTGTTAATGCACCAAGGAGTGGTCTTCTAATCCATTTTGCCTGTAAGCACTTTGTTGTCTTTCAGAATTCTTCAAAATTTCCCCCTGCCTTTTCACCCCAAATCCATTTTCAGCCTACCCATTTTTCTCTTTCCATATTGTTCACAGTAGCAAAAAGTAAAAAAACAAACCAAAAGAAAATCTATTATTCCTCATAATAGGTCATCGGGCGAATACAGTAGGCATACAAATGGACACATGCAAAATGCACAAATACAAATATAGTGTCCAAATATTGTATTGCGATTTAAGATGTTAAACTTTAAACAACTTACAGATTTTAAAACATCATAAAAAAGATTGCCAAATTAACCCAGGTAAACAGAGCAGGCATATCGATGTGACAATTGGAGAATAGGGTAACTTTCATGCCCCATAATCTTTTGGACCTTTATAAAAAATTCTATTAAAGAGTAAAGTGTAATCATGAAAAAAATTAGAAAATTCAGATATGGAAAGAGAAGAAGGATATTCTATACAGATATATAAAGATTATATATTATTTTATATATAATGTAACTGTACAGATAAGTAAATCTATATATAAACACACAGGATTGCATATGAAAAGAATATTTCGGGAAGAATACACAACTGTGTAGCAGTGGTTTCTCTTTGGCAAGTCAACTGGGAACTAATGTACGAAGTGAATGTCCTTTGCACTGTACACCCATCTGTGCTACTTGCTCTTTCTTTACCATGTTCAAATAACTAAATAAAATCAACAACATTTCTAATTCACCCATACAAAGGCGACTCCCACTGACATCTTCAGATGTAACTTTCTACACCCTTGTATGTGCGGACAACATTATTATTTTACAGAAATAGAGCCTGGATGACAAAGCTGTATTCTTGGAAAGGTTAAGTGACACACAAAAAGCTGGAAAAAAGCACCACACAATGATGTGTTAAAAACCCAAATACAGAGACATGCACGGTGGCTCATGCCGCACATGGCATTTGGGGAAGCTGAGGCAGGATTGCTTGAGGTCAGGAGTTTGAGACCAACCTCAAAATAAAAGTTATTCTCACTAATGTTGATTCTTCACTGAGGAAAAAAAGAAAAAAAGCAGAAAGAAAAATAAATATTAAAAATAAAAATAAAAGTTAAATTAGAAAATAAAATTAAACAAATATTAGCCAGGCATGGTGGCATGTGCCTGTAGTCCCAACTACTTCGGAGGCTGAGGCAGGAGGATCACTTGAGCCCAAGAGTTTGAGGTTGCTGTGAGTTGTGATCACACCACTGCACTTAAGCCTGGGAGATGGATCAAGACCATGTCTCTAAAGAAAAAAAATCCAAATAAAAAAAAAAAACCAACAAACAAAAACCAGGAAATGGGATTATTTGATTTAAAAAAAAAAAAAAAAAAACCAGATTGTCATTGTGAAAGATGTCAGGTAGAACAGCAGTACAGTTAGAGTACAGTTAGGATCTTACATTTCCTGGCGCCAAACAGACCTTGCTTCAAATGCCAGTGTGAATATTTAGCTGAGTGGATTTGAACAGTTTCATAAGCAATTTAAGGCTCAGTGTTTATGCTGATGAGAACAATTATCCCTCTCGTGCAGCCTGGCTGCAGGGATGGAAGGAAGCAACTAGGTCCAGGTCCTGACACCTGGCAAGCACCTACTCAATGGTCACTCCCGCTGCGTTTGTGGTTGTTGGACCAGGAAAGTCCGGCCATGACTAAGCCAGGTCTTTACTGGAACCCAAAAGGCAGCGCTGACTCCAGAAGTCAGCATGCCTTTGTTAGAATTCTGGATCTGCAATTTATCTTGCTCGTGTGTCCTCAGCAAGGCTTTCAGCTTCTCTGAGCCTCAGTTTCCCCATCTGGAATTGCCTGTCTCATAGAGCTAATTCATAATACTTTTATGTATGTGTAGAAGCAGTGTGTATGCTCTTGAGGATTGGATAGCCATGAAGTGGTCAAAAAGACAATATATTTAACATTTCCTGTTACCTTACTCGGGGCTTTGTGGATATTAGCTCAATTCTCACAACAGCTCAAAGAGGTAGGAACTCTTAGTATTCCCATTTTAAAGATGAGATCTGAAAAGGCCAGGCATGGGGGACATCTCCTGCCCAGGTCAGTAAAGAGACAGCAGGTAGAGCAGGCAGGAGGGGAACCTCGTCATCTGACTTCAGAGCCTGCATCCCTAACCGCTGCTCCTCACTGCCTCCCTTTGTCTACGGAGTATCTGTTCGCATAAGATCTTACAGGGCATCTGCACTGGGTTCAGAAGCGCCCTCCCCAAATGCACGTCCACCCAGAACCTCAGAATGTGACCTAATTTGGAAATAGGGTCTTTGTAGATGCAATGAGTTAAATTAGGATGAGGTTACACTGGATTGCAGGGAACCCCAATCCACTGATTGGCTGGTGTCCTTATAAGAAGAGAAGATGAGGCCTTGGGAAGATGGAGGCAGAGATTGGAGCAACGCATCTAATAAGCCAAGGAACACCAAGGATTGCCAGCGGCCGCCAGGAGCTAGGAGAGGCAAGGAAGGGCCCCCCAGAGCCTTCAGAGGAACTAGGGTCCTGCTGACACCTTGATGTCAGATGTCCAGCCTCCAGAACTGCGAGAGAATCGTTTCTGCTGTTGTGAGCCGCCCGGTGTGTGGCCATTTGTTACAGCAGCCACAGGACACTCATCCAGCACCTTACCCAGAGAGGGAGGAAGGGTGCTGGTGACCCTGTGGATGTTGGCCACCCTTCTGCAAGCAGGATCAGCCCCATTACCTGGCAGGAGTCCTTTCCACCTTGAGCACTCCCAGCACACAGCATGTTCTTGGTGATAAGGGACAAAGTATTTAAGCACGTCTTCCATGTGACCAGCTCGAGGTTGACTTTCTGAAGGACTGGAGACAAACCTGACACAGGATTTACACCTGAGGAGAAGCAGATGGAGAGAATGCCCGCAGTGGTCCCTTTGGGTTGAGGCCAAGCACCCACCCTGTCATGTCATTTACCTCAATGACAAGCAACCTTCCCTGTAGCCCAGAGAACAGCCCACACTGGGACAGCAGAGTGGGGAGAGGTTGACAGGGGCGTCTGGAAGACTTCAAGCCCACGCTCTCGGAATCCAGAGCTCCTGGGGACTGGGCCCTAGATCAGTCTCAGCCAACGTCCCACCCTGCGGAAGCCACCAGACTCCAGCCAGGACCCTGGGAGGGTGTTTTGTTCAGATCCGTGAGAACACCAGGCCCATCCATGGAAGGCAGGTTACCCCTCGGGGTCGGGAAATTCCCACCTGGGTTATCCCTGAGGCCCCGAGTGCGTTCCACCATAAGCGCACGCAAGGAGCCCAGGAAGGCCCGGGAAGGATGGCGCGCACGCGCACTGTGGACAAGGCCCGTGATGAGGCCTGCAGGGAGAAACGAGACGCCCAGGTTCCGCCAGACTGACTTCCGGGGCGGTGGAGCCTCCGGAGTTTGCTTCCGGTTCAGCATCCACCGGGTGCCCGCCCACCCCGGGCGGCTCGGCCTGTGTGACTCACTAGTGACGCCCCATCCTGTTGCCCAGCAGTCCGTCCACTTGTGTATGTCGGTGACCTCTGAAACGCAGATGGGGAAGGCGGTGGCGCCCAGAGGTAACGGGGACTTGAGCAAGAGCAAAGCTATGTCGTTATCCAGAAGCCAGCTGTCATAGTGAGGGTGAGTGATGAGCTTGTCCACTTTCACCTCGGTGAAGTTCGTGATGCTGAAGTTGGTCACACTGTGTGTGATCACCAGGCTGTAATTTCTAAAACAAGAGGAGGAGGAAAAATGTCAGTGGTGGAAGGGGGAAAGGTGAGTCTTAAGAGAAAAGCAGACCAGGCGAAGCGGGTGGATCGCTCAAGGTCAGGAGTTCGAAACCAGCCTGAGCAAAAGCAAGACGCCGCCTCTACTGAAAATAGAAAGAAATGAGCCAGACAACTAAAAATATATAGAAAAAATTAGCCAGGCATGGTGGCGCATGCCTGTAGTCCCAGCTACTTGGGAGGCTGAGGCAGGAGGATCGCCTGAGCCCAGGAGTTTAAGGTTGCTGTGAGCTAGGCTGATGCCACGGCACTCTAGCCCGAGCATCAGAGTGAGACTCTGTCTCAAATGAAAGGAAAGAAAAAAGAAAAGAAGAGGAGGGGAGGAGAGGGGAGGGGAGGGCAGGGGGGAGGGAGGGGGAGGGGTGGGGAGGGAGAGGTAGAGGGAGAGGAAAGGAAGAAATCAATCTAGCAGTCTGAGGCCGTCAGGCATCTGCCACCGTGCCCAGGCACAGAGCTGGGAGGAGAGCCCCCACTGGGCGGTGCCAGACAGACCGTGAGTCCCGTCCTGCCCGCTGCGACTGGCTCTTGGCTGGGTAGTTTGTTGCTTGGGCAAACTAACTGATTTGCAAGAAAGGCTGGACTAGACAAGCACCTGGGAAGCTTCCCAAAAACACTGGTTTGTGGACACAAATCGGGAGCTTCTGATATGCAGTGAGGCCTGGAGCCCTGCCCGCAGGTCCTAATTCCTTCCCGAACTCTCTGATGCTACGCCCACTGTCAGCCCACTGTCTCTGAGTGAGAGCAAAGGCTTAGGATAACACTTTCCAGAGGCTTGGACCAGGACCACATGCACTTAGCAAGATGCAGAGAAGTCCAGGGTATGTGGTATGTTTTCTCTGCGATTTAGGGCCCACTCGGCCATATGCAGAACATCATCGCAGGGGAGCAGCTCACGTCTCCCCTGCAAAGTATAGGTTTCAGCCATACAGGCCGGTGTATAGCCACCGGAATTTTTTTCTTTGGCTGACAAACCCCAGGAAAACGATAAGCACCCAGGGGCAACTATTCCACCACATTGCTTTAAACGAGTTCTGTTTGCCATACTTACTTATCTTTTCCGTAGAAGCAGTGAGATGCGGTGAGAATCCACCACTCACTGAGCACAGATCCTCCGCAGAGATGGCTGTGATTGCGAAGAATTCTTACCTGCCATGGAAATTCTGTAATGTCTGTAGCCTCCCCGCCTATGATTCCAGAAATCTCTATCTCCTTAGTTTTCCTATTGATTCTTCGGCCACATGATACTAAAGGAAGAAAGGAGGAGGATGGAGGAAAGAGCCAGGGCCCCACAATCCAGGTTACTTGGCTCGGAGGAAGCTTCAGCACAAGTTCTCCTCACCCCCAAGCACACAGACAGCAGGGGCTGGGCCAGGTTGGAACTGGGTGGGAGATGCAGCAGACACAAGCAATCCCCGAACTTTTGCCTGCCACGGGCACAACGTGTGAGAGTGACGATGGGAAGTAGAGGCCGCTGCCTTCGCCACGGCTTGGCCACTGGGAAGGGCTGTCCCCATGAGGGCCTTTGAGGAGCAAGACTCACAACCCAAACTCGGGGGCCAGATCTTGCTGTTGCACCCACAGAAGGCAGCCTGGGCAGGAACAGTCGCTTGTTTGAAATTAGACCACCTCACTGTCCCCTGAAAAGCAGCGCTTGGTACAGTGTGTTAGCGTGCATTGAGAGGTGAGCGACCACACATGGGAAGCTGAGTCGTCAAAGGCACGTGCACGGGAAGAAGGCTCAGATGGCCTCCCAACACCTGCAGGGTGTCCCTCAACACGGGGCTCGGGCTTGCCAGGTCCTCATCGGCGGGCGAAGCTGCAGGTGAGCATGAACAATCTGATGACAGTTCTGCCCTTTGCTGTATTCCACTTTGTTGGAAATTGCACAGAATTGAGGCTGATTTGGACAATCTGAGCTCTGTGGGTGCGAAACTTAGGGGAGTACCCGGGAGCCAAAAGAATACATATATGTTTTAATATCAAAATTAATGTCGTGGAACTTCCCCAAAGTGGAATGGGTTACCTCTAGGGTCGTTGGTTTTCTCACCCATAAAATAAGGGCATTTGGTAAAAATAAGGTTTTTTCAAGTTCTTCTTAGACTCTTTTGCCGAGTTCTCGTCCTCTTCCAAAAGCCAAGGGTCAATCCTTAGGCTGCTCCTCCCTCTATACACTTTGGCTTCAGATGTCACCTTTACACAGATGAGTCTCACGTTTATGCCTCCGAAACCCTCCACTAAGCTCCCCCCTTACTTAACTTGAGGGGCTGCTGAGGAACGAGGCTCCCCATCCACCCCTGGGAGTTGGCCTTTGGAACAAGCCCACCAGGGGATGCTCCTGCCCGCCCCCCCAGTGGAGAGCCCTAGCCACATCCGCAAGGACCCACAGAGACCTACGTGTCAGGGAGCCGCATGCCCAGGACAGCAGCAGGGCCACCTGCAGCAGGCGCACTGCCCCTCTGCCCCGCCACCCTCTCATCAGCCCTGGTCTTCAAGTCACCCCTGGCGGGGCTGCTGGTTACACAGAGGGACACAGGGCGGGGCCACACTCTCTGTGCCTGCCAGCTCACAGCCAGCCTGACGACCTCTGAGGTCACAATAGGCACTGGGCGGAGCTGCTTGGGACAAAGCAGCCAGGTGGCTTCCTGAGCCCCCGGATGTGGGGGTCAGTGTGGGGCTGGGGGTGAGAGAGGCACAGTCAGGCCTCGGGCTGGACAAAGAGAGGGGACCAGGGGCAGGAGCTGGGAGGTGGCGCTGAGGGGCACGCGGGTTGGGATGCACAGTGGGTCCTTTTGGGGTGGCTCTGTCTGTAACTGGACTCAGGCTCGGCCGCTCGCCGCTTCACAGCCGGACTTGAGAGCCGAGGGTGGTGGGGGGAAGCGCAGGTTTATTCCAGAGCCTCATGCTGAGGACGTAGAGGGCGGACCCACATCCCAAAGGCCAGCTCAGGTTGCCCAGGGTGACCGATGGGTTCCAAAGGGGAAGGAGTTTGGGGGCACTGTGTGCATGGCAGCGTATCTCCTTCTGACGGTTCTCCCGGGTCGTGGCCACCTGTTGTCTGGCTGGCGTCAGCTCGCCTCCAGGGGAGTCCTGCAATCTTGTTCTACAGTTAGTTGCTCAAGGCCAGTTCCTGGAATTCTCAAGCAAGCGCACAGTTAGGCATTGTGGAAAGCAGGAGTTACTCGCTGGCTTTAAGGAGGAGTGACTGTTATCATCACAAGCCTGTTCCCAGTGCGGTGACTCTGGGCGGGCACTTACCTGGCTGTGCCTCAGTCAAGTGGAAACTGACATCAGGCTTAGATTGGCTGTTTTACTTTGTAATTTATGCTCCACCCATCACACCTGGGCTGCCTCAGTGGGGTGCCTTGGTTGGGACCCTGTGGGTCTGTCTGAAACTGGCCCCAAAGCTGTCCCAGGGGAAAGGGCAGGTGAGTGTGGCTCCCTGGTGTCCCCAAGGAGGACTGGCAGGGCTGCAGTTGGGGGTAATGCAAGGGACTGGGCAGGGAGGGGTAGGGAGGGCTGCAGGACTGCCCAACACCACTCCCTCTGCCCACAGGCCCCGGCCCCCTCAGGTAGACAGAGGGCCCCCCATATGTGGTGCTCTAGCAGCAGGGACGCTGCAGGGTGTCCTGGCCAGCAGGGGTCAGCTGGGGTATGCACTCTGAACTCCAGGCCAGGGCGCCTGGGGAGTGAGGGCCAGGGAGGACGTGGCCTGAGGGCCTGTGTCAGCCCGTCACCAGCCTCTGCGTCCTAGTTTACAGCCTGGCGGCATGTACTGCCAGGGCAAGGCACGGATGGGGATGACAGCGGAGCTATCTGGGGCAAGAGACAGATCAGGAAATAGACATGGCTCCCCAGGGACTTAAGCTGCTGCTTCTCCTCCCTCCCGGGTGTCGGCTCTGCCCTAATTCCTTCTTGTGCAAGGCCAGCTGGATCAGCGCCTATGGTGCACCAGAGGCCCAACTCCGGATTTAGTGATTCCACTCGGTCAGGTGTGCAGGGGGCGGTCCCTGGACTCGCGCTCCTGGGGCAATGGCCTGTGTGCTGACCGTCTGCCACCTCCTGGAGTCCCCGAGTCTTGGTGTTGAGGGTGACTCCCCTCCCCACCAGCTGCCTTCCTGCTCCTGAGCCCTGCCCTGATTTTCTGAGTTTCCCCCGAGCCCTCTGAGGCCACAGTGAGGTGGGTGGATCTGAAACCAGCAGGCACGGGATGATAAGGAAGATGACCCCCGTGTATGGATTCCATGGATTCCCAGTGCTTGTTCCAGAATGAAATCGGATCCTACTCTAAGAGTACAGATGAAGGCACTATAATGAAAAGCATGGGCATTGTAAAGGGGTCCAACAGAGGAGAGCAAGGGGTCCGGGGACTAGCGACGGCAGTGAGCCGCAGGGACACGGAGAGATGTCTCTGCTGGGACCAGTGAGAGGCGCGGGTGTGGAGGAGGGCAGCCAGTGGAGCTGAGCCAAGAAGGGCCCAGCCAGCGGCAGGACGATGGCCTGGACGGGACAGGACAGCCAGGAAACACCCCAAACCTCCCCCTTCCTGTCATGGTACCTCCGTTGGCACTTTCTCAAAGCAAGCCAATGGGTATTTGGGGTCCCAGGGGACTCAGTCCCCAAGACCCAGCCCACCCAGACCCAGCAAATGGGTCTGTATTGGGGAATTGAGGACAAATGGAAAATAAGGACTCAGTGTCATCTACCATTTTCCTACAGAGGATAGCGTTGGCAGCTATGAGCCATTCTGACTTCAGGGCTGATGCCGATCCCAGGCTCCCCATCACTGAGCGTGCGTTACCGCAAGCGTTGCCGCGCTCAGCCACAGAGCAACGCGTGAGGGAATCACCCTCTTGATTTCCATATTGGAGTCATGAGCCACCCGTACCACATATGTTCCTGTATCCTTCCCGTGCGTGATAAACAAGTGTCAGTGTCTGGAAAGCATCTGAATGGATGAATAAACGATTGAATGTGTTCCCCACCATGGGGCCACATATGGGTGTCTCCTTTGTGGCTACAACAGGCAGACTTAACCAAGAGAGGACCCAGAAAAGACTCCATTGCTAGCCCGACAGCACGTTACGGCACTGATCTTTCTGATCTCACAGATTTCTAAAAATGAATTTTTGTCCTTTGCATTCCAAGCCACCTCACTGTCCTGAGGAAGGTGTGGTCTCCAAGCCCCAGGTCAAAATCTCCCTGCGTCCAACTCCACCCTGGACAGCTGCCCCTGCCCCTGATTCTGCCGTCGACTGTCTGTCGTGAGCGGCCCAGGAGACTATAGCGTTTGCCCCTCAAATAGGGAGCTCCCTGTGTTTGGGTCTCAGAATTAAAGCTGGGCAGTAACACAAACATTTGTGCTCCCTTAATACTTTGAAGTAATAAGACAATAAGAATGAAAGCTGGGGCTGGCTGGGTTGTAAGAAATACGGTGTTAAGCATGACAGAATGTTGGCTTGAGGAAAGACCTTTCGAGTTCATCTGATGGAATCTCGTTTTTCATAGACAGGGAAACCGAGGCCCAGAAACGTGATTTCCCAACGCTGATTTTCCAGCACTTTCCTGAAGCCTGCCCCTGGCAGGGTGTTGTTGCCTCTTCCTCTGGGATTCCCCATGAGCTGCTTGCACCTGTTTTTGATATACCTTCTTTAGACCATGAGATTTGGGAGCACTGAGTCCACATGTAACTTCTGGGGTCTGGGATGGGGGCTACCCCATAGCAGAAGATCCATAGATGATGCTTGTGGAAGGACGGGAGGGAAGAAAGAGGAGAAAAAGGGGTGGATCCAAAGCTTAGCGATGTGATCTGTCACCAGCAGACATGGCGGTAAGCAGCATCTGCGACCCCAAGACCAGCGACAAGGGGTACCGTGGGCCACAGACCCCAGAGCTCCTCAGGGCTCCCGAGATGGTGAAGGCCTTCCCCTGCTTTTGCGTCTCCTCTTGGATCCATGGGATAAATTGGGCCACAGACACGAACATACCGGGCCTCCCCCTGGAGCCAGATCCGATGCCCCAGCTGAAGACGCCCACTTGGAAGAGTCTCTGGGTTCCGTAGGTAGCACAGACCATGGGCGCCCCGCTGTCCCCCTGGGAATGGGAAAAAGAAGGACCAGCGTGTAAGCCATTGATGACCTCCGGCAGGAGGCTGTGGTGGCAGTGGGCTGGGGGCCCCCGCCTGGGCTCACCCTGGGTCCTGGAAGGTGGGGGGTGTGGAGGAAGGGCCTGGGGAGGGCGGGTACCTCGCAGTTGCCATTCGTGCCTGGTTCCTGCCAGGCACAGAGCATGTTCCTGGAGAGCTCGTTCACCCGCTTGATGCATTTCTTCCGGCTAATCAGCACTACTCTCAGCTTCTCCAGGTGCATGTTGAAGCCACCATGTCGCCCTGACAAATCGAGGACACTGGTGTGAGAGTGAGGGCTGCAGTCACCAGCCCACAGACGACCAGCAGGGAGGCCTGGAAGGCCACGAATGCACGGGGTGGGGAGGCCCAAGGTGACCTGGCACAAGGTCCTTCAGTCTCCTCTGTAGTGGCCCCAACAAGTGGTTCCTCTGCCAGATGTCTCCCTGTGCAGAGCTCATGCCCTACCAGGGGAACCCGAATGTGCTTCCTCCATGCCGACCCCCGCCCCCTGCTCCCCACAGCCGTGCCTTGTCCCTGTGCAGAGTCTGTGGTGTCCAGCGTCTTCACCCAGCCAAACAGAGGCACCAGGAAGGGGACACACCTGGAAATGCTTTTTGCAAGAAGGAACCTACCACGATGCTAGAGGAGCCATTGGCCTTCTCCCACCCCACCCCCTCCCTCCCGGAGGCCCTTCCTGGCCAGCCTGGTGTCCTGAAGGCATGGGTGCAGCCACTGGCGGTGACTGAGCTCCTCCACTAGAGAGCTACCAGCTCGGTCATCCCACGTGGTGCCCCACAGCCAGGGACACTGCCATTGGCCATCATAAAGCAATCCCCGAGGGCAGGATCCAAACTGCTCACCATGCTTTTGGCTCCATAAAAATGATCACTATTGCTCTCATGTTCTGAGATTATTCTACATCCCAGGCTTTTACCGGGCACCTTTTGTGTATAATCTCACTGAGTGTAATCCACATGACTTATCTGAAGGAGACATAGCTGGCTTTCTACAGGTGAGACAAGGTGAAGGTGAGAAGTGGGTGGTGAAGCCAAAATTCAGACCTCACCTTCCTGCGCCCAAAGCAACACACTGTCTAGCCCAGGGCACCCTCAAAGTGGGCGCTGCGTGGGTGCCGGAGGGAGGGGACGTACCGTGCCCACTGCCCTTCACCCACTCTGCCATCCAGCACCGGTCCCAGGCCCGCTCCTCCTCCTGCAGGCAGATGGGCCTTTTGAAGTCGGAGAACTCCACTGGCGTGGCGAGCAGCAGCAGGGCGAGGTCGCTGTCGAGGTGGGGCGGTTGGTAATCCTTGTGGATGACGATCCTCTGCACCTGCTTCCGCTCCAGGTGGAAGTCGCTGAACTTGTTAGCCCCCATGACCACGGTGACGTTTCCTGCTGCCATCTCTAATCTAAAGGAACGTGGAAACACCAGTGCTGACAACAGTCACAGTGCCTTGCACAGTCACAGACACACCTGCAAACAGCAGAGTTGACAACTGAGTAACGGCCAGTCCGAGGGGTGGGCGTGCTGCAGCGGCCCAGAGCGTGGCTGGGATCCGGCCGGAGTCGGGCCAAAGCACAGGAAGTCTCTGAGCCAGTGAGTGTCAGCTCAGGCAATGCCCATCTGGCGGGCGAGGGGGTGAGCGCCTTGACCACAGGGAGCCTGGCTGTCCGGTCAGCTGCTGTGTCCCCAGCACTTAGGACAGACAGTACACAGTAGGTGCTCTATGCACGTGTGTACAATCGATGAATCCCACGTGTTGTCTGCGTATACAGGAGGCAGGCAGGAGAGGAGACGCCTTGTGCTGATCTCTCAATACTAGGTGCGTAGCTGCCACTAGCAGCCCACCTTGGGACATGGTTGACCAAGTAAAGAGGAGACAGTGGGTGCAGAGCAGAGACCTTTGGGTGCAAAGCCCATCGAATGTGCTGGGGACACAGCCCATGGCTTCCTACGCTGGGAGCACCCACCCGTGAGCTACCCAGCCCGGGTGGAAGTGAAGACGCGGCCTCGGCGACTTACAGGGTTCGCGGGAAGCAGTGCGCGGCCGTCAGGACCCACCACCGGTGTATGATGGAGCCTCCGCAGAGGTGTCTCTGGGCCGTCTGGATACTCACTTGCCACGGGAACTCGCCGAGCCGCACTTCTAGCAGTTCGCGAAATGGTAGCCAGGAGTTCTGAAAGGCAGGCCTGTAGCCACACTGGACATTTTCTGAAAGAGAAAGGAAAGAGCCATGTGCACACGAGAAGCGCGGAGAGATCTGATCCCCACTCCCTGCATCTTGCCAGCCGAGACCAGGGCTGAAACCGAGGGGAGCGGCAAACACCAGCCAACTGCACCTCCCTCGCTGTCTACTCCCCACGCCCAAAGGGAGCTGGGGTCTGGGGCAGGCGGGACAGAGCTCCCTGGAAGGCATTCAGGGTCAAGGTGGCGATGGAGACGCACCAAAGACACACAGGGGCCATTCAGGAGACAGAAGCCGTGCAGCAATGTGAATAGGGAAGATTTAATGTGAAGAATCACCAGCTATAACTGGGAGTAACTAGGAAGTGTCCAGGGAACTCTTAAGAACACCGCAGGGCTGGGGGATAGTACCTAAGGAGGAAATGACCTTGGCAGGGGAGCCCCTCACCTCGCCTGGAGCAGGTGCGTTTACAGCCCGATGGGAGGCAGAGAAATCTGCCGGCTCGCCCCGAGCCGGAGCTAGTCCTGTTTGCTAGACAAGCAGAAAACCCCCCTCTGGAGGGCAGGTGGGCTGGAAACCGTGACCGGGACTCCTGGGTGTAGGTGGCCAATGTTGGCACACAGGTGCATGGAGGGAACTTAAGGTCAGGAGCTCGCCCGCCCGACACCCAGGGGTGCAAGACCTGGGATGTGGTCTGCACCGGGCAGTTGCATTGAGGCAGAGTGGGTTTGGGGGATTTCGAGACTGATCAGAGGAAAAGATGAGACGAGGTGGCAGCAGCACACGCAGGCTTTGTCTGGGTGAGGCTGTGGCAGGTGTGCGTACCGGGGAAGCCCTTTACAGCATGAGGCCAGCCAGGGCTAAGGTGCAGGGGCTGCCACCCAGAAGGGGAGGAGGACCAGGGGACTCTGGGGGGGATGAGGGATCTGAGAGGGGTTTCACTTGTCCAGGGGAGGTTGCTCACTGGCCAGGTGGCGTTTCTGGGTGGGAGAGCTCCCAGGGGCAGCAGCAGCTTGGGTCTTGATAGCTGCAGGCATCGTCTCACCCATAGCTAGCAGATGGGTGCAGTATCATGAGCTATGCAAAGCAGGCAGGCTCTAGATGGCTAAAATCTGCTTATTTGGACTACATTTAAAATAATTGGATGTGTAAAAAATTGGGCTTGGCACCAGCAGGCTTTCACACTAATGGGTATCCGCTTGCTGTGAAGAAATAAACAACCTAAGGGCCAACAGATGGCCAAAGTGGCCGTCTTTGGCTTATTTATACAACAGGTCACTGAATGGGGGTCAGGACTTAGCTCACTGAGAGATGCGTGGCTGGAGCCAAGCACCACTGGCCGTCCCCTCCCCACGCAATAGGAGCAAGCAGCAGCAAACAGAGGCATGCCGGACAGAAACAGGACGAAAACCCTTCCTCCTGCCGTATCCCCCTGGCACCTTCCGCTGAGGAAGCGTAATGTGCTTGCTGCAAAGAGAAATCACTTACAGAGTCCAGCTCAATTATTGCAGAGCGGGTAATAAAGGGTGGATTTGGAGCATAAAGGCAACAAATTGAGAGATGCAATTTGCAGGAATCCAAGGAAGGCCCATAGAGGGCTGGGGGGCATCGAGGGGGCACAGCAGGCATGCAGAGTAAAGGACAAGGTCCCAGTGGACACCACTATCCAGCAAATACCCATGCCCAGAAGGGATCCTGCAAACAGCCAGCCCAGGAAAATGAGGAGCAATAAATAGGGGTTTGGCACAAAAAATAATAAATATGCTTTTTTGTTTTAAGGGGAAGAGGTGGGAAATGGTAGCAAAATTTATTGGATGAAACTCTAGGAAAATGTTATCCAGAACAAATAAAAAGTCTGAGCAAACATTTTGCCATAGATTATAAAAAATAATACATTGTAAAACAATCACCTATATGAAGGAAGATTGTAAATCAGAAACTCAAGGACAAGGTTACAAAAACAGGAAGCAAAAGTGAGACAATAGGTGGAGATGGAGCGTGAGCTGGCGGCTGGCAGGCTAGAAACAGAAGAACAAAATGACAGAAAGAACACCTTGGACAAAATCCAAGGGACAAGGAAGATGTAAATTAGAAAAGCAATGGAAATGAAATAAAAATAAAGCACTAAAAAGAACGAAAGATTTTTGCACGAAGGTAATTTCTCTGGGATAAATACCTAGACGGAAACCACTACGTCATGTGGTCAGTGCAAGTCCAGCTTTTTACAAAACTGTCAAATTGCTTCCCATGTGGCCGCACTATTTTGTACTCCTGCCAGCAAAGGATGAGAATTCATCTTACTTCACATCCTTGCCAACACTTGGCTTTATCAACATTTTTTATTGTAGCCATTCTAATATATGTACATCAATGTCCACAATGGGACTGTCCACAACCCTCCAAATTGGAAACCCAAATGTCCTTCAATGGATGGATGGATAAACAAACTAAAGCACACCCACACAACGATATTGTACTCAGCAATAAAAGTAAACAAATTATTGATATATGCAATAACAGGTGAATCTCAAATGTGTTATGCTAAGTGAGAGAACCCCGGGCTCAAAAGATTACACACCATGTACGACTCTGTTTGCATGACATGGTGGAGGAGGCCGTCTACATATCGGCACAGAGACCAGATCGGCGGCTGCCAGGAGCTGGGAGGAGGAGAGAATGTGCGGATGAAGGGGCAGGCGGAGGAAATTCTTTGAGTTGCTGAAGTTATTCAGTATCTTGTCTGTGCTGATCCCATGCATGTGTGAAAAACCCAGAGAAAGGTACACCAAATGTAAACTTTAAATTCCAGTTTGGTCCAAAATAAACTTGCAATGGAACTAAAGAATTAGGAGAAAAGATTTTGCTGAGCACATATGAGAGACAAAGGGCTAATGTCATTAAAATTCAAAAAGGTTCTGCAAATCCACTTTAAAAACTCACCTGGATAAGAAAAATGGGAAAACCATAGGAACAGGTAATTCTTAAAAGAATAAATATAAAATGGTACCAGTAAAGCTTGGAGTGGGGACAAGGGTGGTCTATGGTCAGAAGCACCTCAGAAATGCCAGATTAAGTAAAATTAAACCACTTTCTTTACTGTAAGCTGTATCAGCGCCTTGAATATGTAGATATCCACTGCGATCCTACAGAAAAAGTGTCAAATGGGACGTTTCCAATCTGGTCTCACTCTAGAACTTTTCCCCACGGAGTTTTTCATAGAACTGAGGCTCTATAGAACAAACTTTGCATGAACTCATTTACTCCTCATGACAGCCGCATAATGTTCCCCAGTTTATGAGATTACGCCATCTGATTCCGGTGTTCTAAATTAAATAAGGCCTATTCCACCACGAGTCTGCTGCCGCTCCCAGGGTTGGGCCCGCAAGGAGCCTTAATGCTTTTACCAAGAGGGGAGTAGAGACAGAAGGAAAGCCAATGGCTAAACTGCTGTGCCACGTGCCCTGCACTTCCAGAGCTCTGGTCCGGACACTGGGGGGTCATTTTAGGTGGCATCTTCACTGAGTCCCATCCATCTACTGTGAGTCATCAGGGATAATCTCTTGGTTTCCTGAGCCGCCTGCTCGAACTCGGCATCCCTGGGGCCGCTCCGTCAACTCTGCGGGCGCCAGGGAAGCGGCGGCAGCCCTTTCCCCGGTCTCTGCTGCAGGCAAGCCTGACACAGACCTGGATCTTCCTGGGCGTGTCCCTCGAGTGCCATGAGCAGTGTGATTAAAAGCTGGAGCATCTTCTTGTCATTCCAGCCCAGAATTGCCCAATCTTTGCCTCCGGCCAAAGGTGATAAAATGCCAGGTGCGGCTGCTTTGGGTGGGGGGTGCACATCACAAATGTGTGGCAGAGCCGGCCAGGTGACATCACAGAGAGCAGGGCGGGGCACGGGACGCAGGGCAGTCAGGCCCGGTCCGTCCAGCGCTCCCCCTGCAGTGGTGGCTGACGGGACGCCCTCAAAGGGCCGTGCCAGGCTGCGGTTTGTCTGCACACTCCCCTCCCGCCACCCACGCAAGCATCTGCTCCAATTACAGAGCTCGGGGTGTCTGGGTGAGTTTTTATTAATACACTTTTTGGAACCAGGTTGCAAAAGCCTGATAGGCCTTGTTAATAGATTCAGACCTTCCCACGAGGTTCACTGCGGGGAAGGAGGTAGAATTAAAATGGGTCACACGGTAACATTTGTGCTACTCCTGGTATAACAGGGAAGCTACTGTAGGGAGGACGGACTAGAGGAGAGAATGTCTCGCAGGAAGTGGCTGCAGACGGAGCGGAGAGGCCTGGCAGAGGGGTCTCGTGGTCGAGGGGCTCTGTGGGCTGAGCAAGCAGACAGGAGCCCGGGTCTGGCAGTCTGGGGGTGGAGGACGCACTGGGGAGTCACTAGGCCACCGGAGTCCCAGGCGTGGCGAGGTCGCCCAGGGAGAGAGTGTGCCCAGAGCGGCACCCAGCCTGGGACCTGCCAGCGCTCACAGTCAGACCGAGAAAGGGGAGGAGGGGAGGAGGCAGGGCTGGGAAGGGCGGCTGGCAATGCTGGGAGAGCGGGAGGAGAACCAGGAAAGGGGGCAGGTGGAAAATGGGACAAGAGTGCTCCAGGGAGCAGAGACGCCTCTGACAGCAGATGATCCCTCCTGAACCTCTCAGCCCCGCCCCACCCAGATGCTGACACCCTCAATTACATGCTCCCTCCTTCCCTTCTGCATCCACTCACTGGCATCCCAAGGTGTTTCAGTCACCTCCAGCTGAAACCTTCGACAGCCCCAAAGTGTCCTCCCTGCCCACGGCTCTCTCACAGCCACCGCCCTGTTTCCTCTCGGTCATAACCTTGGTGTTTGTCAAAGGAAGGAAGGAAGGGAGGAAGGGAGGGGAGGAAGGTGAGGGTGAGGAGGAGAGAGAGAGAGAGGGAGAGGAGGAGGAGGGAGGGAGGGGAGAGGAGGAGGGAGGGAGGGAGGAGGGAGGAGGTTGAGGAAGAGGGAGGGAGGGAGGGAGGAGGAAGGGAAGAAGGGAGGAGGGAGGAGGGGGGAGAAAAGGGAGGTGAGAGGAGAAGAAGGGAGGGATGAGGGAGGAGGAGGAAGGAGGGAGGGGAGGAAGGAAGGAGGGAGGGAGGAGGGAGAGGAGGGGGAGGAGGGAAGGAAGGAAGGAGGAAGGAGGAGGAGGCAAGGGGGCGGAGGAAGGGAGGGAGGGAGGAGGGAGGGAGGGAGGAGAGGAGTCGAGGAAGGTAGGAAGGGAGGAAGGGAGGGGAGGAAGCAGGATAGGGAGGGAGGGAAGGAGGAGAGGAAGGAGGAAGGAAGGAGGAGAAGAGAAGAGAGGGAGGGGAACGGAGGGAGGAAGGGAGGGGGGAAAGAGGAGGAAAAGGAGGAAGGGAAGGAGGGAGAGGAAAGAAGAGGAGGAAGAGGGGAGAGAAAGGAGGAGGGAGGGAAGGAAGGGAGGGAAGGAGGGAGGGAAGGAAGGAGGGAAGGAGGGAGGGAGGGAAGGAGGGAGGGAGGGAGGGAAGGGTGGGCCATACCTGGGGCCGCAGGTGAGAGTCCGGGCAGCTCACCCCACAGGGTGCAGGCCCCCCTGGGCCCTCCCCAGTCTCAGGGGCCCAGGCTGGAGGCCCCTCCCCAGGCCTGGCCCCCACAGTCACAGAGAAGCCATAACCTGACAGGCTCCGTGGAGGGGGAGGCATGTAAGCCTCAGCAAAGGTTTGGGTGTGATCCGAACTAAAACAGGTGCCCATAAGGGTCTGGGGGTGGTGGTGGGGGGGCCTAGGGCTGGGGGAGGGGAAGTGGGGATAAGAAAGGCTACAAGGACAAGGTCCCCTTGGGGCAGCCCTCTTAGAAACAAAGTGACAGCGGGAAAAGAAGTCTGCGTGACCTCAGTCTGGGTTCTCAGACTGCAGCCCATTGTGACATCGCCAGCCGGATCTAGCTCTGAGCAGGGAGGCTGCGTGGTCTCGTCGCCCTCAGCGCTGGCCTCTGTCCCCTCCCGGCCCTCGCGAGGCCAGGGCCATGCTCCTGCTGTCCGTGCTGCTGCTCTTGTCCCGAGCGGCGAGAGCACTCATCGGTAGGTGGCCCTCTCCCAGGGCCAGAGCAGCTCTCCCGGGGGCCCGGACCACCCACCGCCCTGGAGACTTTATCCCCAAGGGAATCCCAGAGTCCCCAGCATGAGCTGAGCGTCAGTCCCCGACTCAGAGGGTGAAGCGCTTGCAGCAGGAGGCTCTGGGAACCGCAGACACGGCGGACACATGGTCAAGTTCAAGGTTGCTTCTGCTCTTGCAGTCAGCTCCCCACATCTCCCCCAAAGGTCGAAGGTGGTATCTCCCTCCAGGGGTGTGGCCAAGGCTGGAAGGAAGCTGGGTTACTTAGCAGCGGTCGTGGCCAAGTGCTTCCGCATGTCTAATGCCACACCACCTCGGCGGGGTCTCTGCTCCTAGCCCGGATGGAGGTGAGGCGCTCAGAACCCCTAAGAGGTGGAGGATTTGCCCAGAGTGGCCTGGAGGGAGATGGTGGCTCTGTCTGCCCGACTGCACTGAGCTGACTGCAGTGCAGGTGGCCCTCCTTCCGCACACACCTCCTGCCCCGCGCACAGCAGGGTCACCTGGTGTCCCTTAGTCAGGCCTGGGGTCGCTTCTCTGGGCCCTGCTTCCCTCCCCAAAGCCAGCAATGTTGGTTGCAACCCTGTACAGTCCCACCTTCCTCCCTCTACCACTTTGAGGACCCCCGTGGTTCCCCTGGGCCCACCAGGACATGTGGAGAATGTCCCCCTCCGAGCCCAGCTGATTAGCAACCTTATTCCACCTCCAAAGTCCCTCTTTCCTTTCAAGGTAAAATCGTCTTTGTTTCTGGGGGGCGTGGCCCCTTAGAACTGGACGTCGCGGAGGGCCATTACTCTGCCTGCCGCTTGGGGACTGGGTTTGGGCGGCATTTCCCTCCAATTTCTCTGGCACGAGAGCAGAAACAGGCCAGGGAAGCAGCTTTCCTGGGATCACAGTGCCGGCCAGAGTCAGAGCCAACGCTTGTGACCCGTGCTCTGAGCTCTGCGCAGCAGCAATAAAGCCTCGGCCGGCTCACTCATGTCGCCAGGCACCTCTGTGGGGCGGCCTTGGTGTGCTCATCTCTAGAGTGGGGACGAGGACATCTGCTGACGAGCCTCCTGTCAGCCCAGCGCCCGGCCTGCCCGCGGTGGGTGCTAAGTGTGGCGTCTTTTCTCTTCCACTCCCTCTGTTCCCCCAGGATGCGGCGAGAGACCCACCTACGAGGGAAGAACCCGGTACTCCCGGATCATAGCGGGGCTGGAGGCAGAGGTGGGCGAGTTCCCGTGGCAGGTGAGCATTCAGGCAGAAAACCAGCATTTCTGTGGCGGCGCCATCCTGGACAAGTGGTGGATCCTCACGGCAGCTCACTGCATGACGATGACGATCCCCATCTCGTAAGTGCCAAGAGCCCAGCCCCGCTGCTTCCCCGGTGCCCCACCCCGGGCACCCGCCCGCCAGCCAGACCCGATCGCCGGAGGATTGCTAGGGCTGCTCGGGCTCCAGCTGGACACGGATGACTCCCACATGGCCCCGGCCACGTGGCGGCAGCCAACCTGGGGCTGCGCCCTCCCCGTCCCTCCAGTGACATGGGTTCCCCAAGGCCACACCCTGTCCTCTCTAGGAACACCTGGGGCTTGATGAAGCCAAAGGCTTGGTCCATGTGCCTGTGCTAGATTGAAGTCCTTCTAGAAGGACGCCCTTCCATTCTGGAAGTCTGTTTGCCGGGCATCCAACCCCCACTCTCCTGCGCCTTGTAGACTTTCCTCTATGCTGCGGCACGTGCGTGGACGTCCAACATTTACTGGTGACTAACCATGTGCCAGTGCCCCTGCTAAGAAACTTCACCTGTGTTAACTCGCGTAATTGTACAACGCCCCTCTGAGGCAGGTAGAATGAATAAGCCCCGTGTGTGGGTAAGGAGACCAAAGTCCCATAGAGTAGGTGACACCCCAGGTGCACAGCTGGCAGACACCGGCAGGACCTAAATTCTGGCTCCACCACCTGTGCTTTCTGCTGCGCTGCCTCAGGGAGGTTTGTGGGTGCACAGAAAGGCTGACTTTAAAGGGTTAACCCAAACCCTGGGGAGAGTCTCATCATGGCCTAATAACCAAGGAACCTCGTGGCACCTGTTGCCATGGGACACTTAGGGACGGGCTTTTGGAAAGTTCCTGGCCATTCTGCCTGGAGGGGCTTTCCTGAATATTGGCTTACGAGTGAAGATCTTTTCTGCAGGTCTAGATGAACTTCTGTCCCTGGGTCTCTAAACTGTCAGTCATTACAGTGGACGTAAAATAGGAGTCCTAACGCCTGGCCTGTCTGAAGGCAGGTTTGATCTGTGCCAGGCAGCCCTTTGTGGGCTCTTCCGAGTGTCCCCAACGAGGTGTTAGGAGCATCATTCACTTCTCTGGTCTCAAACTTCTGGCCTCAAGTAATCCTCCTGCCTCAGCCTCCCAAAGTGCCGGGGTGACAGGCATGAGCCACCGCACCCAGCCCCAGCGTCCACTTCTCTGGGACCTGAGATGGAGCAGAGGTGTGGCTGTGCTCTGCTCACGGGCCATTCTGGCACCTTCTGTCCCTTTCTCAAGTTCTCGCACCCACAGAAACTCCCAAGCACTCTGGTGACCTCCCTTCCCCTCCTTCTCACCCCTTTCCTGCTCCGTGCCACCAGACCTGTGGATCTGAACGTCGTGGTGGGGACCAACGACTTAACCAGCTCTCACGTGGAGGTAAAGCGGGTGGCCGCCATTATTCTCCACAAGGACTTTAAAAAAGCCAACATGGTCAACGACATCGCCTTGCTCCTGCTGGCCACACCGATCGCGTTCAGTGACCTGAAGGTGCCCATCTGCCTGCCCATGGCGTCCGGCCCCTCCAAGTGGCACCAGTGCTGGGTGGCAGGATGGGGCCAGACCAACCCTGGTACGAGGGCCGTGGAATCGGAAGGAGGGGAGGAAGGTGACGGGGAGAGCTGAGCAGGGGGAGGCGACCGCGACCCACGTGGGAGCAAATCCCCCCACAGCGAGGGCCCCTCGGGCCCCGGCCCCGCCCTCTCGAGAGCGGAGGCCCCAGCTAAGATGCCAGGGCTGAGCCAGTCCCCAGGCGTGGTCTCCCAGCCAGCGCGGGGCGTCTCATGTGCGTGTTTAATCGCATGCAGACTCTCTGCTTAGCCAGGGCCCCTCCGCTCTTTCTTCCACACATCTCCGTCGCTTCGCACGTGGATGTTTCCCGCCTGGTTCGTGCCGGCGTCTGAGCTGTCCGCCCCGGGCAAGGCTCTGACGGTCCTGGCGTGTCACCGGACTATCCCGAGACACGGCTCTGTTGTCACTTGTTGTGCTGTTACTTGCCCCTGATAGGAGAGTGTGCACCGGGGCAGAAAGGTATCTCGAAAGCCCCGCTGGACTGTCCCCAAGGAAAACCCAGCAAAACCTAAAGCAAACAGCCCAGGCAGCAGACGGGAGCAGCACAGCCCCGCTGGGGCCTGGGCAGGACTCCGGGTGGATCCTCAGGGTTGCCGTGCAGCGAGCCGGGGCCTGCAGACGTAGGCGCTTCGGGAGCTCGGCGACCGGGCGAAGTGGGGGCACGCTGGCTCCGGGCTCCAGGCACTGCTGGGAAGGCAGGAGGGGAGGAGGCGGTTAAAGCCCTCAGTAAGGGGCGGAAATGTGGAGTGTCTGCGTGGCTAGTTGATGAGGTCTCCGCCTCCGCAGACCCCCGTCCCCTCTGAAGGCTCCCGGCCAGCCCGCCTCTGCTGGGGGACGAAAGTTGTCACTGGTGCCAACCCATGTCCCGCCACCCCGAGCCAGGGCCGTGTGCTGCCCACGTAGTGACAAGCAGCCACAGGCAGGTGCGGGAGGAAGCCGAACGATGCCGGGGAGGGGCCCTCAGCCAGTTCCGAGGAGCAGTCAGGCTGGTGGGCGTCCTGGGAGTAGAAATGCGGTTTTGAATGCGGGGAATCATTCCAGGAGGTGTGGAGAGTCGTTTGCAAACTCTCAGGGTGGGGATGGGTGATCCGCAGGTGTGCGGTTACCTGAAGGAGGAGCGCGGAGCCGGGGGACAGAGGCTGGGGACAGGGGACGGGCAATCGAGGGCACAGTCCATTGTGTCATCAGCGCAGAGCCCTGCCGCCTGCTGGCTTTCCTAACGTGCTTTCTTTCTCTCCGGGCCAGTCGACAAAAACTCCATGCAGACAGACCTGATGAAAGTGCCGATGATCATCACGGACTGGGAGAAGTGTGCAAAGGATTTCCCCCAACTTGGCAGAAACATGCTGTGCGCCGGGTACAAGAACGAGAGCTACGACGCCTGCCAGGTAAGTCGGGGACCCCCCGGCAGGTCCCAGCCCCTCGGGTGCCGATGCACGGGATCCCCTCTCTGCCAGGAATAGTTATGGGTCTGGAGACTGTGTGGTATCAGAAATGTGTCGTCTTCTTCAGGTCCACTAGGCATGTCGGGCTTTGGGGGGACTCTTAAAAAACAAACAAATCTAAGGAGGATTTGAGATGGATACAAGGAGCCATTGCAGGTCATTAGTTAGTGACCTCTGTTGAGCGTGATTGGCCTGGGGACCCGAGAATGAAACCCGGTCCTCACCTGCCGCCGTCCCCCGGGGCAGGTCGTCGGGTAAACATAGCCACAATATGTTGATGATGCACGTTAGTTTCATTGCACCAGAGTCTGGTCTTTTAGCATATCTTCAATAAAATTAATGTGAAAATTTAAATATAAAGAAATTTTTATTGATGGCCACAAAAATAGAAAAAGAATTCACAAATTCGTTCCCCCTGGCTGTAAGGACAAATGGTGAGATTGGCGTCTGAACTCACAGACGCCGTCGTCACCTTGGGTGTGGCTGCCTGCGAGCCTGCCTCGTCCCAGCCGAACGCCAGGCGCCTGCCCGCCGGCCCTGCCGTGGTCTGGCCGTTGGCGTAGAACTGCAGAAGTGGATGATACGTATTCTGAGCAGTGACGGGGAGGCTGCCCCGTGGAAGGCGGGGGGTATTTATCTAGAATTAGCTATGACGGTTTAACGCGAGGAGATTGGTAACTTTCCCCTTGGGAGGGGCTTGCTGGGATAGGGTTAGAGGAGGGAGGGAGAGGAGAGGGGCAGCATCCGGTCTTCTAGTGGTCCCTAGTGATGAATTGTCATGTAACATGAACCTTGTGTTTTCGCCACATACTGGACAACTGAAAAAACACTGCAAAAAAAAAAATAGAGAATTGAAACTTGTGGCTCTGGAAAAGATGGAGCAAACACACTTCTCCCGGTCCCTTCTAATTACAACGAAAAGCATCGGACATTACATGGTGAGATGAAAACAAAAAGGCTGACAGGTGCAGAGCAGAAGGTGCACTGGCCGGAGACCCCAAGACTTAGGAAGGACACAGCAGTGGCTCCCTGGGTTTCCTGTATGTCTCCAAAATATCTCAGACTGGACGCTGGAGAAGACTGCGAGCCCGGAATGCCAATGGGCACAGAAATAGACTGACAGCCATAACCACGCCGGGGTTCCAGAGGGGTCGAGCATGGCCATTAAAGGGCAAAGCAGGGGTCCTGGTGATGATGCGCATGTTCCGTGTCTTGACCAGATCAGTGTCACTATCCTGGTCGTGACACGGTACCACAGCTTTGCAAGGTGTTGTTGGTGGAAACTGAGCGTGTACAGGGTCTCTCTGCATTCATTCTTGCAATTGCATAGGAATCTACAATTATCTCGAAATTCGAAGAATCAATTTTTCAAAAAAAGTTTTAAGTGCCACAATCAAGCAAAATATGAAATCAAACAAATCCCGGCTAGCAACGTGACGCTTTTGTGAAGGCCCTTCTTCAGCAACGGTCATCCCAGTGAACTGCACCCGCCTGTTTTCTTACCCGTCCTCCGAGCTCTGGCAGAAACGGGCCTTGCTCACGAGTGAGCTCCCAGCGCCTAGCGCGGTGCTTGGCATGTCACTAATGCTCAACGAATGTTTGTCAAATAAATGAACGAGGAAGCCGGGTGTCGGTAACGTCGCCACTGAGGAAGGGCACCTGAGAGTCTGCAGGGGAGACGGGGTTAGGAGCAGCCGCGGGGCCGCAGGGCGCTTTCGTTGGGGGCTGCCCAGCTGACTCAGGCTTAGACCTGGGCCGCGCTGCCAGGTGCTGCCTTGAACACAGCCCCCACCGTGGGGTGCGTGGAAGTCTCGCTTCACTCCATAGAATCTTGGACTTAAAGAATCACAGACCTCTAGAGCTAAAAGGGATGCACAGAAACGTTTCACCAAAACTCTGCTGTGTGGATGAGAAAACATGGCTATTTTAACCATCGACCCTCCCCTTAGTTGTCAGAATGGCCCTGCAGCCGTGTGCTGACGTCACAGCTCTCTTGCACACGGTGGTTTCAAGCCATCTCCCTCTCCCTCCCACCCTCCCCTCACCCTGGTTCAGACCCCCCATTTTTCACCCCTCTTAAGCAGCCCCTCCGCCCCCCGCTGCCTCCCTTCCCCACGCACCCCTACGTGCCACATTCCTGCGCGTCCTCAAGCCCAAAGCTTTCCTGACGGGACTCGTCAGCAGGACCCCTCCCTCCGCTGCACTGCTGCCTGTCCTGGTCACACGTCTCCTGTCCCAGCAAACACGCTCCTGTCTATTTGTACGTTTAACTCCTCAGCGAGTCCACGCGGCCCCATATCCCGAACGCCTGCCGACGAGCGTTGCCCCAGTGAAGATTTGTTCAGTGACAGCGATCGAGCCTCTTCTGGACCTCAGTTTGCTGATTACACAATGGGAATCAAAACGCCCACCTCGCAGATCCCTGAGCTGACGGGGTTGATAAAAAAAAGCAAGGAACTAACGCCGTCACCTTGCGCCTTGTGGCCAGGACACGCTAATCCTCCTCCTCCCCTTTTAGTGGAATACTCCATTCTAGCCACCTTTTTAGGGACATGGAAAGGGACACCGTCTCTCCACTGGAGAAAGCCGCTTGCAAGGTTGAAGCTGCTCAGCTCCTTGTGGGAGGGCGCTGCATGGCAAAGATGGCTAGAGCACAAGTTTGGTGTCAGAAAATGCTGGGTTCCAGCCCTGGCCAGGCGACTTAAGACCTTCAGCCAGCCGTGTATCCCCCTGGAGGTGCATCTGATCTGCCTTACAGAGGGTGGCAGGAAGCCGCGTGTGCCTACGGTGCATGACTGGGTACAAGCGCTCCGTGTACTGGGATCACTGTGTGAGTCACAGACCCATGCGATTCCATCTGGAAGGGCTACAGAACCCGGGAAGCTCAGCCCGCCTGCGCTTAGCAGACACCCACACCGAAGAATTAAAAAGGAGCGTCATCATCCCCCCACGCCTGGGGAAGAACAGCAAAGGAGACTGGATTCACAACCCCAATAGCACTTCCGGCGTCCCATTTTCTCTCCTGCCCTTTCCGGAGCTTCTGATTTGACAAGGGCCACGACATTCGTCTGCCCTCTTCCATCAGCCTGTGTGACGGTCACTCTGTCCTGCGCCCCAGTCTCCCTGCGCTGTGGACCGGGTGATAGTTCCCCTCCGAGCCTCCCTCTTCCTCCCCCAGATTAGGTCCCATCCTGTGCACCCCCATCCTAGCTCAACACCCCGGGGCACCCAGAGCCAGCCCTACAGCAGCACGCCCCTCGGGCCGGGGTGGGCATTGTGGCCCTGGCGAGGTGTCCTCCGGCCGCTCGGAGCAGGACGGGCCGAGGGATCCTCCCCCACGAGTGCGCTGTGCCCTGCCTCGTGCGGGCACTTGGCGTGGGCTCGCCACTGACTGTGCTCTCCGCCCGCAGGGTGACAGTGGGGGGCCTCTGGTCTGCACCCCGGAGCCTGGTGGAAAGTGGTACCAGGTCGGCATTATCAGCTGGGGCAGGAGCTGTGGCCAGAAGGGGACCTCGGGGGTATACACCAACGTGGCCACCTACAGCGTCTGGATCAATAAGGTGACCCAGAATGAAGGAAGGCCCTTGGAGACCCTGGAAATGAGGGGCCTGAAGCAGAGAGCAACCAGCCCCCGAGCCTCGAGACCCCCGGAGCCAGGAAGCCCCCAGTTCTGGCTCTGGCTCTGCCTCCCATCCTATGTGTTATATAGAGCTATTTTCTACCAAAAATAAAACAGATTCTATTTTTGAACCCTAGGTGGAAGGCGTATGAGGACGTGCCTCCCGCAGAGGCGCTGGCTGCAGAGCAGAGCTGGGCTGGCATGGAGGCTCGGAACGGAAGGGCCAGAAAGCCAGGCTGGGGCCCTGGTTTGGGGACTGGGCTTTGGGTTCATGGATTAGTCAGGACTCTCTTCACTCTAGGTGACAGTCACCTAACTCAACCCGGCTTAAGCCAAAAAGAGATGTTTATAGTACACATAACAGGAAAAAAAAAGACTGAAAAATCCAGGGGTGGTGTGATGACTTCATGCATGGCTGGATCTAGGGGCTGAAAAGATGGCGACAGGGACTGCTGTCTGTGGCCCGTCACCCCTGAGAAGGGCTTCCAAGCAGTGGCCGTGATGAGCACCAGCACCTCCCACACGCGTCCCAGCAGCTCAGCAGTCACAGTGGGAGGACAGAGCTCACTCCTGGTAACTCCAGCGAGTCTGCCGTCTTGTCTCACGGCCGGGAAGCCCACGGCCCGAGGCTGCTCCAGTCACTGCAGCCCAAAGCCATGCTCTCCCGGCCAGGCCAGGCGAGTCCCACACCCACCCGGCAAAGGGCCAGCCACCCAGCTGTGTGAACTGGCGGTGGGTGGAAGGGTGGGGCCCCACAACAGAAATCAGGTGCCACGAGCAGAAAGAAAAAGGGGTTGGGAGCTGCAGATGTCCTTAGACAGTGGACACTCTGGCCGATCCCCGCTGGGCCTGCCTGGCTCGTGCAGGCCTGCGGGCGCTTCTGCAAGCATGCCTTCCAGACGCTGCTTTAGGACCACTGGAGAGCAGGGGCAGAGTGGGGAAAAGGAGAGCCAGGGTGCTTTTTACTTTCTCTCGCAATCTCTTTCTGGAGAAGAGCCAGCCGTGCTGTAGGATGTGCGGAAGGGCCGGGGCTTCCAGTTAAAGCTTTGCGTTTCGGGAACTGCCAACTGCATCTTTTTTGGGTGGGGCCCGGGGAACCCGGTCCAGGGCACACGGCAGGTCACGTTCTAAATGGGCAGAAGGCGGGAGCCCGTTCTCAAGGGGCTTTTACAAAGGGCACACACGCCACCGTCCACCCGCCCAGTTGAGAGCCGGAGGGCGTGGAGCGCCCGGTGTGCGGGGCCAGCGGAAGGCGGCAGGCGCCTGGGGCTGAGCCTCGGGGCGGCGGAAAGGAGAAGCCAGGCTTTCTGAGCGCGGATGCGCATCAGGAACGTGCTCGAGGGTAAACCGGAAGAGACAACAGGTAAGAAGCCGGGAGTGAGGAAAGGAGAGCCGGCCTGTCTGCTCCAAAGAGAGGAGCCCCAAGAGAGGGGATGGGGAAAAGGGTGATTTTAAATAGCGGGGTGGGGGGATTAAGGTTGCTCGAGAGAAGGGTGGAAACAAGTTGTCCTTAAGGGAAGGGTAACGGTGAGTGCATCGTTAGTTCTGACACATGGGGGGACCCTAAAACAGCACGGGAAGGATACCTGGGGAGTGCGATTGTTAATTTTATGTGTCAACTTGAAGGGTGTCTTTAAATGAGGTTAATGTTTAGATCAGTGAACTCTGAATAAGCGGATTGCCCTCCGTGGTGTGGGTGGGCCTTGTCTAATCAGTTGAAGGCCCGAAGAGACCACAAAGACTGGCCTCCCCATGCGGGAAGGCATTTCTCCGGCCAACTGCCTTGGAACTTCGTCTGCACATCAGCTGTCCTGGGTCTCCAGCCTGCCAGCCCACACCGCAGATGTGGACTCGCCAGGATCCTTGATCTTTACAACAAATCTCTTTACACGCGTGTACACACATGCACATGCACACACAGCCTATTAGCCCTGTTTCTCTGAAGAACCCTGACCAACACAGGGAGGAAAATCCTCAGTAGCATGCAGGGGCTGCCGAGAGAACGAGGTGGAAGCAACGTTGCCATTTCACACTTAACCAAGCAATGCAATGCTTTGTCGAGATACGGAAATTCAGACCGGAACATTCTTTAGTCATCAACTCTCAGTGATTGTCACGTAGGTCTCGGCAGAGTCGCCATACCTGGCGCTGCGGTTCCTCGCTGTGCACTGAGGTGCCCCGGGGCGTCACTGCGGGTGGGTAGGGACATCACGGACACGCGGGGACGTCTGTTGGACGTAGAGGGAAGCGGCAACGTCTGTCGGGCACGGGGCTCTCTGCAGCTGCTGAGGCGTTTGGGCCTAACAGCTCAGTAAGTGCAGGCGTCAGGTGTTCCTTTTGGCCTAGGAGCACCATGAGCAAAATGACCAAGACACTAAGGGTCCGGGAACTGGGAAGGTTTGGGAGCCTCTGGCCCAGTGGATAGCTGCTGCCATTCGTATTCTGCAGTTAGGAGCAAGGCAGGATCGAGTGGCCCAGACACCTCCTTCAAGCTTGCCTCCCACAGCAGGAACGTCACGGTCAAGGCGGAGGGTGCCCACATTGCCTGTTTTGCCTGCCTGGCACCCAGGGGCCTGGCTTGTGATTAACATTTGCAAGTCCGGCAGGAGAAGAGAACGCGGCAGAGGGAGCTGAGCAGTGGCAGCGGGGGGGTGGGGGCCAGGAGGAAAGCGGGGAGGACCTGGTGCCCCAGGATCGGGATGGAGGGAGCTGTCAGCTCCCACACACGCTGCGGAGAGGTCAAAGTGAGGACTGTAAAAGTGTCTGCTCGATTTAATCAGGAGGTCACTGATGACCTCGGAAAGGTCAGTTTCCACAGAGTGGTGGAGACCGAGGCGGGTGGAATAAAAATAAATCTGACTTTGAGAGCTTTGTGGTGCCTCAGAGGTCTTCCCTGGAAAATTCCTTGGAAAGGAGATGAAGAAGAGCGAACACTGAACACGCAACCAGAGCCCATCACCGCTGCTCTGGGCGCGCCGGGCCGGACGGGCACACAGGCACCAGCTCTGCCGCCCACGGGAGGCACTCTGGATTCAAAGGAGGGAAATGGATACACAGCGAACATGGTAATCCCCCAAGAGCTCACATAGCTATAATCATGTCGACAAAAAGAGACGGTAAAACAAAAACGTCGCTGGGAATCGAGAGTGAATCCATCAGAAAAATACAATTATAAACATATGTGCACCTGACCATAGAATACACCAGCAGCAAAAGGTGACAGAATTGAAGGAAAAAAGAGGCAATTCAGCAATAGAAGTTGGAGACTTAACTCCCTCATGTTAAATAATGGACAGAAATCTATACAGAAGATGAACAAGGGTATAGAAGACTTCGGCAACACCACGAACCAACTAGACCTAACAGACATACCCTAATGTTTTCAAGGTTTATTGATGTTATAGATCCATCAGAGCTTCATTCCTTTTTATTGCTAAATTATCATTGTATGAGATGCCGCATTTTGTGTGTATTTATTCTTCCCAAAAGCGCATTTCACAGCAGCTGCTCAAATTCACTTCTTTTCTTCAAAATCCTGGCCTGCCTGGTCTTCCCCTGCACCCATCTCCTCTGCTGGCCTCTCCCTGCCCCATCCCTTCCCCTCCCCGAGCACCTGCACACCCTTTCCCGTGCATACCACATTGCATTACAGTCGACCCTTCGACAGTATGGGTTTGAACGTGAGGCTCCCCTGTCTCTGCCACCCCCGAGACAGCCAGACCAGCCGCTCAACACGAGGATGAGGATGAAGACCTCTAGAATGATCCGTTTGCACTTGAGGAATAATAAATACATTTTCTCTTCCTTATGATTTTCTTAATAACGCTTCCTTTTCCCTACCTGACTTCAAGAACACCGCATGCCCTCCATATACGTACAAAATATGTGTCCATCAACTGTTTATGTTACCGGCAAGGCTTCCAGTCAACAGTAGGCTATTGGTAATTAAGTGTTGGGGGAGTCAAAAGTCATACACGCCCCCCTGAGCAGTTGAAAATTCGTGTCTTGAGCAATAAAAACTCACAAAGCCTCTTAGTGCCCGAGCCCGGAATAGCTTCATGGGGCCCTGTGCCATGCAAAGTGCCTGTCCGACTCTGAATTCTGCATGTTTGCATCAGCACCGGCCCAGTAAGAGGCATCTTCCGTCTTTAGTTCTGGGCTTATCTCTCCTTGGTTGCGCGTGTGAACGGGCGGCCCCTCCCCGCTGCGCTGCCTTCGGGAGAGACGATGTCCCCAGATCACCCGGGGCTCGGATGCTGCTGCCGGAGCAGCTGCGGGCACAGATTGGAAGAGGAAGGGCAGCCCCTCCTGGAGTCCAAGAGCAGAGCCAGGCCTCAGTGTCACTCTCACCCGGGGGAGCTGGGCAAGGCAGGGCATCCCTGTCCTGAGTCGCCCTTGAGGGCCGCGAGCCGTGCAGGGCAGTGGTGGTGAGCGACAGGGTCAGCTCCAGAGTGCAGCTGGCCGTGGATCAAGGCTCAGCCCCAAACACAGGAGCCTCTAAGCCCCAGGCCTCTGGGCTCTGGGGCAGGCCCGTCACCCCTGTCCTAGACCAACCCCCTGAAGTCCATGTCCTTCTCTCCCCGGATGCTGGCGCCTTTGAGCTTCCTGCAAACTGAAAGCCTGCCTTGATCTGTAGAGATGCTTCCGGACTCACCCCCATGCTGCCCTTGCCAGTGTGGACCCCACAGGTGGAGCCCCCTGCACTGCTCCTTCTGAACCCTGGACGGTGCGAGACTTGCAGAGCCCTCAGGCCCCCGGTTTCTCTCTCTCCAGCACCACGGTGGCTTCACCAGAGCCCTGGACCTCCTGGGGCTGCTCCTCCCATGGGCTCCACGAGGCAGGCACTGTCCTCACCCCACACTCAGGGCACACGCAGGAGGCAGCATCTGAAGCCACCCCTCCCCTCCTCTCCCTCGCTCATCGCAGATCGGTGTGTATTTTGTGTCGCTTATTCATTCATTCATTCATTCATTCATTCATTCATTCATCAAACATTTGCTGAATCTTCCGTGAGCCGGTGCTGCTCCAGCCGTGGGTAAGTGCAGGGAACAAGCCCTCAGAGAGCCGCTCTCTACTGGGGACAGTACAGTAAGCACACAGAGCTGCTGCTGTGACAGGCGGAGACCAAGGGTGGAG